CAGCCTCTCGACAATATGCGTTTTTGCTGGCTGTAGCAGCTGCACAGCAAAAACGCATAAAAACGGATTTTGACGAGGGGTTGCCTATATATGTGTGCGCCTGTGTATCTGTGTGTGCATCTGTCACGGTTTTTCATCTCAAGACCTACAACAGCTGCAGGGCTGAAACTTTGGGAACTTAATCTACAGGGACGTACGGGCCGTAATCCTTAAAATGGGCGCTCTAATCCGCGTTGTACCCACTTACGGGCCTCTGAAGGTTTTTTTTGCAGGTAAGTCACTAACTCGAGAATCAGAAAAGCTAGAAAGCTGAAATTTTAAGGGGATGTTCCACTCCCAAGTAAGTCTCAATGAGCTCAGACCCAACCCTCGGGCATGCGTAATACCCGCGCACAGTAGAGCCAAAATTTTTTTCGGGTAAGTTCCTAACTCGAGAATTTGAAAAACTAGAAGACTGTAATTTTAAGACGATATCCCTCGTCCACTTGAGTCTCGCTGAGCTCAAACCCAGGCTCCGGGTATGCGTGGTGCCCACGTACGGGCCGTAGAAATTTTTTTCGAGTAAGTTGATAACTCGGGAACCTGAAAAGTTAGAGGACTGAGATTTTGAAAGGATGTTTCCTAACAGACCTGACGGCCAGTCTGAAATTCTTTTGGATAGAAGCATCTGCCGGAAAAACAGTGCCGTTAGCGACAAAAACCGGCGAGGAACTATGCAAAAAACGCATCTTCGCACGGGCAGCACGTGCGCTGGTCAATTATTCCCTTTAAATTCTGGCAGTCATAGCGCAGTGGCAAGTTGCTGCTCCCGTAATGAAAGTCGAGGGTCGGAACTCTGATTCGTTAGCTGTTTCGATGGTAAATTAGTCGAATCAAAAGCACTACCAATCCGCTTTATCGGAATCAAAACCTCGACCACATTCACCCTGTCTAAGAAGCGAAGACAGTAGCCACTCCGGCTAGTGTCTTCACATCTTAGACGGGGTGAATGTAGTTGAGGTTTTGACTTTTAGTATAATGAACTGTGTTCCTTTTTTATCATATTCTACGCATCTGATTGTGCGAAATGAAGCATGCAAAACGTACTTCAGAGTTGATTTGCCAGCGGAGATTTTGCGCATTTCGGCTGTACTCACCATCGGATGCTTGCTAGGATTATTGCGATAAAAGAAGCCGTAGATGATGAACAAAAGCAATGACAGAACGCCGTGAACATAAAACACCATAGGCCATCCGAGTCTGGACTGGCAGAGAGCACCAGACAGTGGCATTGTTACTGTTGGCGACAGTTGGATATAAGCAACCAGGCACGACATAAACCATCCGTTCTGAATCTTCGTTTAAACATTTCGCGACATCTCAGAGGGATTTGTATGTCATCACTGTCTTTATACGTTTTTTCCCTCTTAATGCGTAAATAAGCATGTTAAGCTATGGGTTCAGTCAGGAATTGAGCCTTTATGTAAATG